AGTAATTTCCAAATTATGTTTCTTTGCTGTTCTGGGTGGCAGCTCTTGGCAGGAAATCTCTAGCCATTGGGGCTTGCACTAAATGTCTCAAATGCATCTTCTGTAAGCAAATTGATCAATTCTTCACAGCCCATTAAGTGCTATGTGCACACTGGCGATGCGTAGGGGGTTCGCGTGGGTGCATGTGTACCCCCTGAGTGTGGCAGCACACCCCCTATGAAAAGGCACCACTAACACTGTCAGCGGTGCCAGCGGGCGGTCGCCGCTCGCCACCCCCCCCGCCCCGCCACTGATACTGCCGGCGGCATCTGTGGGCCATCAGCAATTACCGCTGGCCACTGCTGACACTGCCCGCGGTGTCTGCGGGTGATCGCCAACCCCTGGTCAGCGCTCACCACCCCCAACCCTCTGCCACCGGCAGCATCAGCAGTGTCTGCAGGAGGTCCTCGGTTGCCATCGCCACTGCCAGGGGGCATACATGTACGTGCAGAAACCCACAATCTAACCTCCCCTACCCCAGTGTCTCATAGTAAGGGTGATTCAGTCCACAGGCCAAACGTGGCTCACAGAGCCATCATGTGTGGCCCACAGGGCTCTCAGCAGGTCAGGAAACTTGGTGGTGGGGGAACAGTGGCCATTAATACAGCCACCGTCCCCCCTGCTGAATTCTCAAACCCCAAGCCCTGTATGCCTTGTCAGAGGCATGCCCCTTTCCCCCTACAAGGCCGGGCTGGGACTGGGCCATGCCCCTTTCCTTCCTGCAAGGCCAGACCACACCCTCTTTTTCCCATGGCACTGGGCTGGGGCCAGGCCACACCCCCTCTTCCTCATGGGCCATGCTGGGCCATGCCTTCTTCTCCCCTGTGGGGGCCGGTTGAGACTGGGCCATGCCCCCTTCTTTCCAGGCACAGGTTGGGGCTGGGCTACGCCCCCTTCCCCCTGCAGGGCTGGGTCCCAACCCCTTTCCCCTTTATGCAAGACTTAGTGAAGCCACTTTCCCACACTGCAGGGCAAGGCTATCTGACTGTCCATGGCTGGATGATGGCTGCCGTGCCAGACCCAGGCACTGAATTAAAACAACCATCCAGCTCATGGTTGAACCAGGCATTGTCCATCTGGCCCATCAGGCAAAAAAGTTGAGTACCACTATGTTATAGTATACAATCAATGTGATGAAGTGATAAGTAAATCCAACCGCATTCTTTCATCCATTAGAAGGTGCATCACGAGCAGGTCTAAGGAGGTGATACTTCCCCTCCATACAGCATTAGTAAGACCGCAGCTGGAGTACTGTGTCCAGTTCTGGGCACTGCACTTCAACAGGGATGTGGATAACCTTGAGAGTGAGAGAGTTCAGAGGAGGGCTACTCATATGGTTATGGGCCTACAGGTAAGATCCTATGAAGAGAGACCGAAGGATCTGAATCTCTTCAGCCTCTGCAAAAGAAGGCCGAGAGGGGATCTTGTAGCAGTCTACAAATTTATGAGAGGGGAGCAGCAAGAAATAGGGGATACTCTGTTTACCAGGGAACCCCTTGGGGTTACTAGGAACGACAGCCATAAAGAGGGAGAGCAGATGTAGATTAGACATTAGGAAAGTTGTCTTTATGGTGAGGGTTGCCAAAATCTGAAGTGGGCTTCCAAGGGAGGTAGTGTTCTTCCCTACCTTGGAGGTCTTTAAGAGGAGACTAGACAAGCACCTAGCTGTTGTCATCTGACCCCAGTGCTCTTTCCTGCCCAGGGCAGGGGGTCGGACTCGATCTACTGAGGTCCCTGCTGACCCTAAACATCTATGAAATCAAGTCAAGGAGGCATGCACAATTATAAAAATATTAAAAACTACCACATGCCATAACAATAAAGCCACAAATGTAAACAGGCACTGTTAGAGCAACTATTAGACTAGAATTTTAATCTACTACTGGTAGTATTCTCGGACTGTCTTAAAGACAGCATGTGTAATTACTCTTCAAAAACATTTTAATAACTGACACTGTTTGTGGGATAGAAAAAAAAGCATCAGTATGACAAATTAAATTAGCCTTATTAATTTCAATAATATATTGCTAACAGTCTTTCTGGCATAGACTGTTAAGATGATAAAGTCTCACTTTTGAAATCAGGATATATAAATAAAAGATTATCAAACTTATAAGAGAATCAAAAATCAAATGTGTACTTCACCTCTTCATTTCTATTAGAAGTTATCTCATCACAGGAAGAGACTTCAACTGTTTATATTTAAATTGATTTTACTTGAGTTAAAACATTATACTCCGTCACCTGTAACCTACATTTCCTCCAAGCTTGTCAATTTGCTCCTTCCAGTTTTGCAGTTTCCACTGACTCATTCAGAGATTCTGCTTTTAGATTCTTCCTGCCCATAATGAACTCTTAAGCTTTGCACTTTTGACTTCTGTGACTATCCCAGTTTAGAGTCATGCATGCTGCTAGTACTTTAGATAGCAGATGTTTAACCACTTACCCTGTGGTAAGTTAGTTCCATAAATGAACAGTTATCCACTGGTTCTTCTCTCTCTCTGAAGTCCTATGTCTTCTCTCAACTGACCCCTCTTCCTCTCCCAGATGTGTTCTTACTACCTTCCCAAAAGGAAAATATCTGCATATCCCTAGATGGTGGAGTTGTACTTGAGTAAAGTTTTTACAAGTGTCCAGTGCCAGCTGTACAGTGGGTGTCTTCCCACTAAAGAATATAATGGTAAACACATCATTTATACCAGAGCTCAATGGCACAATATAATGAAAGGTATAAAATCTGTATATCTACCTCTTAGGCATTGATGTCAACAAAAGGGCTACCAGGGTGCTGTGCAAGCATAAAATAAATAAAATAATGATCTAGTCAAACAAAAATGAAATTTTTCAGATGCAAGAACAGGACATTTCTTTCTTGCATCTGAGAAAGAAAATAGTCTAGAAACAAAAAGGAAAAAAAACAAACCAGTGAGTGCTCTAGTTAACATTTCTGATGCCTTCCTGAAAGAGAGAACTTTTTTGTTGAATAGGAAGGGATGAATCAGGAGAACTAGAGATAAAATTCCCCTGACCCCTGTGAGAGAATGGCTAATAAGGCCTACATGAGAGAACAATGGGGATGAGAAACTGCTTATCTGCAAACAGCACTTACCAATTCATAATACTAATATTCTATTATTTTGTAGAAAAGTTAGGGAGAGTATATACAAAGATGTATACCAAGGATCAACTTGCTTTGTGTCCCAGAAACACCAGTATATATATCCTTCAAGTAAATATGGTAACGTTTTCACAGTATTAAGACTGACATGATACAGAAACCTAATATAAAACTAGTTTGTTTAAGGCTTGGGTCTTGTGCTTGCCACAGTAAAAATAACACTCCCCCCCACCCCCAACTGATAAAAAGATTGCACACACAATAATATTCCATTCTGAAAACTACAGTGTTTGCAGAATTCACAGAAACAAACTCATCTTAGGTGAACGCAAACACTATTCTTCAGCACTTCTGCAGTAAAACTTACGAGAACCACAGGAGCTATGTTGCTTAGATAAAAGTCAGTGGTTACAATAAAGAGAAACAGCATAAGGAGTCAGTTAATGAGAAGTGCAAACCAAGCACAGACCACTGCTTATTCAAGCCAGAGAGAGGGGCTCCTTATGTTTTCAGCACAGGAAGAAAAGTTGTATTGTCCCCTCCATTTTAGTTCCTGGCTACCACCTATATATACAGGATAAAAATGTGGAAAGGATGAGATCTAAATGACATAAAAAAAGAAATTGTAGTTAGAGAACCAAGGTCCCAGTGAAGAGATACTCAAGCTAGCTCAAAGCAGTAATAGCTTGAGTGGAGTGCTGTGCTAAGGCAACAGGGGTGTAGGTTGTGTGATTCACCTTGTATTTCAGGCCTAGCAGAATTCCCCTCTGGTATGGCTGTATGCCTATTTTGCTAAGTAGGGTTGGGTATCTACCTTTCTGTCTTTGTTTCACTGTCAGCAGCATATAGAAGATTTATCCAAACCTTTATCTCAGATCACAGAACCATTGGTAACAGGGATGAAAATGACCTTGAGGCCATCTAATCCATCCAGTCACATAACAAGATCAACCATACCTGACAGATTTTGTCTAACCTGCTCTTAAAAACCACAATGCTAGAGATTCCACAGCCTCCCTAGATAGCTTATTCCAGTGCCTAACAACCTTTACAGTAAGAAAGATTTTTTTTTCTGATAACCAACGTAAAAAGTTCTTGTGATTTATTCCTGTTACTTTGGGAGTATCTACACATTGCCGTATTGTGATGTTGCTATGGTGCTGTGCTTTAGTATTTCATTTTGGAAATACTAAAGCACAACACAGTATGGGTGGTTATTGCGCTGTGTGCATGGGTAGATTTCACCACAATGTCCTCATAGCAGCATGCTATCTGGGGAGCACGTTGCTACAGCAATGTAGCTGGTGATCACATGTGTGATTGCTAAGTCACCATAGTACACTGTACAGCCCCATAGGGTGAGTTGTAAACATGCCTTGTGTCCTATCCCCAGTGGATATTGTAACAGGAGGGATGGCAGGGTCGCCGTGCTAGCCCTTGCCGCCTCCTCTACTGTGCCAAGTTTTGGACTTGCACCCTCCTATTCTCGCCCGCCACGACTTTGATGATAAGTGTTTTTGTAGGGAGGCTACCTCTCCTCCACTTGGCCACAGTTCTCCTGCTCCGGGTGTCCAGCATCTCTAGGCCTTGCGGGCCTTCTCTATACGCCACCCTTCTCACTAGGGCTCTTCCCTCTGCAAGGCTGCCCTTCTCACCGGGCTCTTCCTTGGAGCTGGGGTCTGTACCACTGAACTCTGTGTCCTCACTGGGGCTAGGGTCCTCACTCTACCGTGAGTCCCCTATGAGGCCTCCTCCATCCCCTTATAGCCTCACCCAAACCACCGGTGTAACATCAACACAAACTCAGTGTAATACATAACAACACAAACTCGAGCCTCCTGGCTATAACTCAAACATATGCCCTCTAGCTATAACAACCTTGCTCCACTCTGGTCAAGCTGTACTTGCCGTTAGGCTTCTCCTCGTATCCTAACTCCTGGAGCTCCTGCCCCTCTGGCTGCTGGCAGGGAACCACCTCTCTTCTCAACTCTCTCTCTCTCTCCTTCCTAAGAGCCAGGCCTTGCCCCTTAAAGCCAGCTGATCGCTGGCAGGGGTGGGTCGTTTGCTGCCTCCTGTTGCCCTGGCAACCCACACCTGATGAGCCTTCCTGGCTCTCGTTGTAGCAGGCACCTTAGTGTCCTGCTACACACCTCCCCGCTCAAGACTTCAACTCACCGAGGCGGTTTGCATTCTCGTCCCTCTGGCTTCCTTCGTCTTAATCCTTTGTAGTTCTTGTTTTGGCTCACCAACACTTTAAAAAAATGCATAGAAGCGGAGGTTTTAAGGCACCTCCTGCTCGCCTTTTCCCCAACGCGCACCATGTGGGATTTCCTGGGAGTTGCCCCGCCACGGGCATTCCCCCCACATTAGCCAACCTTGGTAAGCTGACCTCTCTGTTGGTTGAGCTCCTTGTCTTTTAGGGTCCACTATCTCTTCTTATGCCTCTCTCCTGAAGTAGTGGTGCTTGTCTTTCCTAATAGCCTCCCTGAAGGTCTTGAAGCCTTCCTCATATCTCCCACTGTCTTCTCAATGTTCTCTGAGCATTTTCTTCCTCCCAAAACTCGATCTTTCCTCGGCCGGTGGATTCTCCTTTAGGTCCTTTATAAATTTTTACATAAGCTACGCCTCCGACTTTTGCTTCAACAAGCTTTCTTAAAGTCCACCACTTGACGTTTCCTGGGATATTCTGCACATAAATCTGGGGTCTCCTCCCCCGACTGTCCCTCACTTTAGGTGGTAGTTCTCTTCCTCGTATCTCTATCTCCTTGGCCTCGCTTTCTCTTCTGGGTCCCACTGATCCCTTTTCCTTGGGGCTCATCTTTGGCTTATATCGCCTGACGCCTTGTCTCTCCTGCGTGCAGTCTTGGCAAATCTGATTATTGGTCTCTTTCCTTGAACTTGCCTGTTCATTCTTTCGTACTGTCCCTGCCTCTATCAGGGCTGCTTCCCCTAATGGCCTCTGATGGGGTACAGTAATTCCCCACCTAGCTCGAGGTTTATAGCATTCCCTCAGCTGTTGTCTTATATGGCTCATCTCCTCGGCATGACGCTCCAACCATTGGTCCCATCTTTTAATCTAGTCGTCTAGGAACGCTGGTAGAACTTCTCCTTCTAGGGCTGTAGACTTCGTCCCTACCAATCCCTTTTCTGGGTTGCTTCCCTCAAGTTGTCCTGGTTCGGCCTCCTCTCTCAGATCCTCTGGTCCTTGGTCTCCCTTAAAACTCACTTGTTCCGGTGTTTTCTTTCTTTCCAGCTGCACAGTTGCTAGTTGCACCTCCACTTCCCTCAAGGACCTTTTCGCTGCCTCGAGTTCCTGGTGCTGCTCTAGGCATTCTGACTTAGTCATGATCACACACTCCGCTAGTTTGGCTCCCAGCGCCTCCAGCCTCTTTTGCATTGCATCTGCAACCTTTTCCACTTGGGCCTTCTGTCCTGCGTCTGTCTGAGTTGCTATGCTTGTTGTCTCTGGCACCTCTGACTCCCCAGGATCTTGGCCTTTTGTGGCCATCTGCCTGTTTGCTACCTGAAGCATTTTCTTTTCTGCCTCCAAGGCTTGGACCTGCTGACTTAAGGCTTGCATTTGATGTAATGCCTGCTCCCTCTCATTGTTAGTCAATGCCTCTTTAGCTGCACCATCCTCCAGGAGGGTTTTAAGGTTTGTATCTGTTCTTCCAGATGGTCTTTTTCAGTCTCCACACTCTGTAGCTGGGACCGTAACCAATCCTTCTCTTTCGCTCCAGCCTCTAACTCCCTTTCAAAGGACAGGTTCCGCTCCTGCAATACATCATAATTGGCCATGTATTCTTTTACCTTTTCCATCTCCTGTGCGAGCACCTTTCCCTTTTCTTCGGTCAGAGCCTGATTTTCATGCAGGGTGTTCCACAGCATTTGAATTAGTTGTTCTGCACCCATATACTTCTGCTGCCATTTCTCCACCTCGTCCCGCAATTCTTGTACGCGATCTTCCTGACTGCGGACTTCTTTCTGAAGGACATCAATCACGCCTTTAGAGACCTCCAACCTCTGTAGTATATCCTTCTGTTCCCTCGCCTGGGTTGTGCAGGTTGTAATAGACTTCTCCCTCCAAGTTGCCATCTTCCTCTGCATCTTCTGCAGCTTCTCTTCCCTCACCCAGCTCTTTTGGGCCCCACTTGCAATAAGCTGCTCTAGGGCGCGAGTTCTCTCCGCTTCTGCCGCTATCATGCGCCTTATTTCTTTTGAGCCTCCTTCCTTTTTTCCTGCCTGGGCCCGCTGTTCTAACCCAGCAGCCCTTGCCTCCACTTGCTCTTTTTGAAAGTGGGCCACCTCCAGCTCCCACTCCAGCCGTTCCAATTTTTCCTCTAACTCATCTATTCGTAATAGCTTGGCAAAATTCTCCTGTCTCAGGCTCTCAATACCCTCTGCCATTGCCATCCTGGTCTCGCCTTCACTAGTCAGGCCCTCCAGCTTCCCAGTACCGTCCCCGGGCAGTGCCTTCCTACTTTGCCCTCTTTTCGCTTTGTGTAGCCGCTGTCTTCTTACAGCCCCCTCTCCGTCCTTATTTTAGCCCTCTGGTTTGTCTTTCTGTGCACGGCTTTACGGTTTCCCGGCCAATGCACCACTGTAACAGGAGGGACGGCAGGGTCGCCGTGCTAGCCCTTGCCGCCTCTTCTACTGTGCCAAGCTTCGGATTTGCACCCTCCTATTCTCGCCCGCCACGACTTTGATGATGTGTTTTTGTAGGGAGGCTACCTCTCCTCCACTTGGCCACAGTTCTCCTGCTCCGGGTGTCCGGCGTGTCTAGCCCTTGCAGGCCTTCTCTGTACGACTGCCCTTCTCACTAGGGCCTTCTCTGTACGACTGCCCTTCTCAACCAGGCTCTTCCCTCTGCAAGGCTGCCCTTCTCACCAGGCTCTTCCCTCTGCAAGGCTGCCCTTCTCACCAGGCTCTTCCCTCTGCAAGGCTGCCCTTCTCACCAGGCTCTTCCCTCTGCAAGGCTGCCCTTCTCACCAGGCTCTTCCCTCTGCAAGGCTGCCCTTCTCACCAGGCTCTTCCCTCTGCAAGGCTGCCCTTCTCACCAGGCTCTTCCCTCTGCAAGGCTGCCCTTCTCACCAGGCTCTTCCCTCTGCAAGGCTGCCCTTCTCACCAGGCTCTTCCCTCTGCAAGGCTGCCCTTCTCACCAGGCTCTTCCCTCTGCAAGGCTGCCCTTCTCACCAGGCTCTTCCCTGCAGTGCTGCCCCCTCGCCAGGCTCTTCTTTGGAGCTGGGGTCTGTACCACCGAACTCCATGCCCTCACTGGGGCTGGGGTCCTCACTCTACCATGAGTCCCCTATGAGGCCTCCTCCATCCCCTTATAGCCTCACCCAAACCACCGATGTAACATCAACACAAACTCAGTGTAATACATAACAACACAAACTCGAGCCTCCTGGCTATAACTCAAACATACGCCCTCTGGCTATAACAACCTTGCTCCACTCTGGTCAAGCTGTACTTGCTGTTAGGCTTCTCCTCGCATCCTAACTCCAGGAGCTCCTGCCCCTCTGGCTGCTGGCAGGGAACCGCCTCTCTTCTCAACTCTCTCTCTCCTTCTTAAGAGCCAGGCCTTGCCCCTTATAGCTAGCTGATCGCTGGCAGGTGTGGGTCGTTTGCTGCCTCCTGTTGCCCTGGCAACTCACATCTGATGAGCCTTCCTGGCTCTCGTAGTAGCAGGCACATTAGTGTCCTGCTACAGATATGAATGACAGTTTATGACCTTCCTCTTTGCATCTTTTACATATTTGAAGATGGTTTTCCCTTAGTCTTTTCTTAGGCAGATAAATAAATGGTTTCCAATTTACTGCTATAAACAGGAAACCACAAAATATCCGATATATATGTTTTAATATCAGCTTGATGTAGATCAGTACATCAATACCTAAATACTGAATTATTAATATGTTGTTGAACATCCAATACTTAATGCCTTATGTTTGTGGTCAAGAGGTGTTAAGAAAACACATTATCCAATAAGTTGGTTTGCACTCATTTAATTCTTTGATTTTTTTCCTCACAACTTACAAACAACAAACTTTTCTTTTGTTAAATAAACGTTTCTGGAGCATAACCCCATGGTAAGGTGTGGTTTTTATTTTAAATTCGATGGCAGTCCAAATTCCATTACCAAGACTCAAGGGATGCATGCAATTTTTAGGCATCTAAGTCATTATATTTCATGTTATATAATGGACTGAATTGCAACTACACAGCTACTGTTTCACGCTCTAAGACTTTGTCTCCCACAGTATCAGTTTGGAAATTATTCAGTCCTGCCTGCCTTAGGGAGGTCCCTAAATCCAATTATCCTTTAGATGCACAAAACATAACATAATCCCCCGCAAAATAGGAAAAATCCAAAATCATGACCATGATTTAATACATGGCTGTGCATCTATCCAGCCTAACTTCTGCCCAGAAACTACATGGTTAGGGACTTGACTTGACTGCCACTGATGCGCCACACTGCACTAGAAAAACCTATCCATCAGTTTTGTAGGAGTGAATACGTTGATGTTAAGGCTGGGTCACTGAGCAGCCAAGAAGGCAAGTATCTTAGTTACAGAAGGAGAACATGCAAAAAGAGAGTGACACTGTACCTCAGAGAGTGAATACTGTCATCGCAGGAGTATGAGCCCTTGCTTCTTCTGGGTTTGGACACATACACTTGGAACTGTTTCAAAAGGGGAGCGGCTGATTTGGTGTGCACAGCAGCTGTAATGTTCCAACAGTTGTGTAAAGACACACTGAAATCATGATGGAAGTACAAGGTGCAGTAGCTCCTTTAATGTTGTTCAGTTCACCAGGCGATCGCCCCCCACCAACCTCAGCCCCAGCAGCCCCCTGTTCACAGCTGATCAGCTAGGAGGCAAAAATGGTGGCATATTTAAAATCATGGTTTTTGCCTCCTGGCCAATCAGCAGCAAGTGGCAGGACCCCACTGTCAATCGGGGGCAGGGGGAGCATACAGCAAAATGGGCAAGATTAAAAGAGCCACTGCACAGTGTACTTTCACTATGATTTTGGTAGGTCCCTAGTTGTGTGTTGTTGATACACACGTAGCAAAACTGCTCCAACATTAACCCTGGATGAAATACTGTTAAAGTTGGAGATATTTTGCTACATTTGTACCATTTTCAGCTTGTGTATACAAAGGTGGCCATGTAGAGAGGCCTCTCTACCTGGCCTTTTTTGACCTCATGAAAGCCTTCGATTCGATCAACTGAAAAGCACTGTGGAGGATCCTTCTAAAAGTACAGATGCCCACTGAAATTCATCACCTTTCTTTGCCTTCTCCATGAGAGTATGCAAGCGGTTCTCAGTACAGATCACTTTGGTTTAAGATGGGAAGTAAGCCAGGCTGCATCATCACTCCAACACTCTTCTTGATATCCCTTGCAATGTTACATCTGCCCGTGAACAGTGGCCAGACCCAGATTCTCTCTATTTTAGGGCAATACCCTCCTCCCTGGTCCACATAAGCTACCTTCCCTTGGCTTGTTCTCTTCCTTGCATGATTCTTTCCTTTTGGCTGGATCATCTTCATGAGGAAGGGAATGGAAGGTAAGTTGGCTCTATATCTTGGTTAGTAGGGCATTTTACTAGAATAAGTACTAGAATTTAAACCTTGAATCCTAACCCTGAATGGAAATGGAGTTTTGTATTCAAATGACTGTTTGGGACAAAAATATACTTTTTGTAACAATCAAAAACAATTTTTGAAAATTGTGACCTTGCAAAATTTTCTTTTGCTTTTCCAGTGGGAAAACTGAATCATCTCCCAGATCCACAACTGTATTCTCAGCAATGTTAAAACAGAATAATTAATTTCCAAGATTCATTAAATATTTAACAGTTGGATATGTTGTTAATATAAGGAGGTCTAAGATCATTGTGAAGAGTATATGTGTGAGTATGAACTTCATGGATCTGGCAAAAGTATTTCTTCCGGTAACTGCTGGAGGTGGAAGTGAAAGCTGTCCGAGGCACTCAACTGTGTTATTAACCATGCTTTAAGCAATATGAAGTAATAAGGAATCCAGGAAATCTGTTCTTTTATTCTAGTCTTTCTACGCTTTTCGGACTATAAATTAATGCAACCAGTCACTAAACAAAGTTTCTATATGATTATTATATTACGGACTTTTCAATGCAGGATCTTACTTTCCTAGATCTAGATGAATGATTGTATTGTCTATATTTTCCTCACTTTTTTGTTTTTTTTGTTTTTTTGACATACTGAGATATAATCTCTTTGGTAATAGTACAGTATTCTGGAAAAAACTTTCTGTAAACATTATTTCAAGTATCCCACTATCCCAAGTATTCCATTTTTAATGCTATGCCTCTCCCAGGCATGGCATCATTGGAGATAATCTTTAGTAAAATGACACGCCTTACTCAAAGGAGCAGCAACAGGAATAAAATATAGAGAATGTTTGTGCTAATTACACAAGTATCTAATGATATCAGATTAGACGGGTATCTAATGATATCAGATTATATTCTTCAAGAAAAAAAAATGCTTTGAATGTCTTCCATTAAATTTAGTACAATAAAATAAATTAATATTTACCAGGAAGAAGCTTCCTTTTGTCATAACCCAAAGGTATGATTTTGTGTGTGCTTCGGCACCAGAATTATCCCCGCCAAATTACAGCTTCATTGCACGGTGGAGTTTTCTACTGCAGAGGAAAGCTCTGGTGCAGGGACGAGTTTCCCGCCTAGTTGCAGCTTCTTTTGCAGGGTACATTGCTCAAGTTGCAAGAGAAATGCACGGTGCAAAAGAGTTCCCACCACCCGCATGCAAATTGGTTCCCCGCTATTGGCTAGTTCTAAATTATTCCCACGTGGCAGCTAACGATTGGCCTGTTAGCCGTATAAGAGGCTTGAGCGGTTTCCGCCCAAGCCGAAGAGGACTCCACATCCATCTCGTGGGGACTCTGGGTACACGGCAGGGAAATAAAGACCCCTGTGTGAGATTCAGAGGAGCTTGGCGACCTGATCCATCGCCCACCTCTTCCTGTCTTCGAGCGATAAAAATTATAAGACGTATCTACGAGTCTGATTTTGGTGGTGCGCTCACCCAGAGCATCCGGAGCTCTGTTTCCGTGGAGCCTAGCAAACTCCACGTGACCGTTCGTGTTGTCTTTGTCTGTAACCACAACTCAAGCAAGTTTTCCAGCCTGCACCGCAACCATCTCCGGTGTAAGTAAACAATCTTTAAATCTACCGCTACGAGTCTGTGCCTAATTCTAGCTTGTCGCGTGCCTCTCTCCGACCCCGCGTGCCCGGGCTGCTGGCCACAGCCCGCGTGCAGCACGAAAAAGGGCCCGGCTCACGCCCGGCCCGCACACCTTTAAAAAGACAAATGAATAAACACAATTTGTATTCAAATGAGCTTTACCATTGCTTATACACTGGAAAAGTTAAATCATACAGTCTCTTAATCTTTCCCCATGACAAAGAATGAAGCATTTAAAATCCTTACCATTTGCCTTTTTCATTTAAGAACTGCTGAACTGCATATCCAAACTGTTCATTTGAATGACCAGAAAATATTTTTGCTCCTGGGAGCCCAACATTGTATGCTTCACAGCAGTTCTGAAGAATGTCTGTTAAAGTTAAACAGAATGATTAATATTACTGTGAATAGCAATTAAAGAAAGAATTTTGATCCCACTAAAATAAGTTCTCTCTGTGCCAAGTCATCTTGATACATCAGTTTTAAAAAGTGGCCTTTGACACAAACAATAAAAAGCAGTATTTCTCCCACCCTTACTCAACAGTGCCCATCTATCCACACACGATAAAAAATGTCTTTCCACATGAGAACTTGGATATACCTAATACTATAGGCAGAGACTCCTGA